TTCATACCAAATGTACTTAAATCTGTACGATTTGCTCACAACCTTTTACTTTTGGGCACAACCAAAATGACCTGTTACTGAAAGGGAAAATGTACGTACGTAGCTTTAATTTAGCGAGTTTAGTTGCGTTTCAGGAGGAGACACGGACACTTCCTAAGGCTCCATAGTTCTGCTTCAGCGGTGTATTTGCGTGCACAGGTTACACACACAACATGCAGCGAATAGTTCTGTGTGTGTATGGTCTTGGATGACGTTACCGCGGCGCCATTTGCCGTGTTTTTGTTAGAGTCTCACAGCCGCTGGAGGTGGCATAGCGGATGTCCAGAGCGGCCGGAGGATGCAGACTTCAGTTCATAGCAAACAACAGCAAGTGCCTCACAGTCACGCGCATATTCTTTTAAAGCTTGAATTCCCAGAGGGCCTACTTGCTCTGTTGCCATCACTCACACGCATGTGTCCGCGGGATTCTAAATGATATTATGGGATACTTTGGCGGGTCATTCGGACATATATATATATATATGTCCGAATGACCCGCCAAAGTATACAGTGTATATATATATATATACACTGTATATATATATATATATACACTGGCGTCCGGGAGGCATCCTGAACAGATGCCCGAGCCACCTCAACTGGTTCCTCTCGACGTGAAGAAGCAGCGGCTCTACTCCGAGCTCCTCCCATATGACTGAGCTCCTCAGCCTATCTCTAAGGGAGCGCCCAGCCACTCTGCGGAGGAAGCTCATTTCGACCGCCTTGTATCCGCGATCTCGTTCTTTCCGTCATTACCCAAAGCTCATGACCATAGGTGAGGGAGGGAACGAAGATTGACCGGTAAATCGAGAGCTTTGCCTTTCAGCTCAGCTCCCTCTTTACCACAACGGTCCAATACAGCGACCGCATCACTGCGCACGCTGCACCGATCCGCCTGTCAATCTCACGCTCCATCCTTCCCTCACTCGTGAACAAGACCCGAGATACTTGAACTCCTCCACTTGAGGAAGGACCACTCCACCCACCTGAGTAGGGCAAGGCACCTTTTTCCGGTGCCTTTTTCCACCATGGCCTCGGATTTGGAGGTGCTGATTCTCATCCCAGCCACTTCACACTCGGCTGCAAACCGTCCTAGTGCATGTTGTAGGTCCTGGTTCATTGGAGCCAACAGGACAACATCGTCCGCAAACAGCAGGGATGAAATCCTGTGGTCCCCGAACCGGACCCCCTCCGACCCCTGCCTGCGCCTAGAAATTCTGTCCATAAACACAGTGAACAGAACCGGTGACAAAGGGCAGCCTTGGGGGAGGCCAACATGCACCGGGAACAGGTCTGACTTACTGCCGGCAATGCAGACACAGCTCTGGCTCCGGTCCGCACATGGACCGGACGGCCCTCAGCAGAGGACCCCGGACCCCATACTCCCAGACAACCCCCCAAAGGACACCCCGGGGAACACGGTCGAACGCCTTCTCCAAATCCACAAAGCACATGTGGACAGGTTGGGCGAACTCCCATGAACCCTCGAGTATCCAATGGAGAGTATAGAGCTGGTCCAGTGTTCCACGGCCGGGACGAAAACCACACTGCTCCTCCTGAATCCGAGATTCGACCATCGGACGTAGCCTCCTCTCCACTACCTTGGAATAGACCTTACCGGGGAGGCTGAGGAGTGTGATCCCCCGATAATTGGAACACACCCTCCGATCCCCCTTCTTGTAGAGAGGGACCACCACCCCGGTCTGCCACTCCATTGGTACCGCCCCCGAACGCCACGCAATGTTGCAGAGATGTGTCAGCCAAGACAGTCTTACGACATCCAGAGACTTTAGATAGTCAGGACGGATCTCATCCACTCCCGGCGCCTTGCCACCAAGGAGGCTGCTAACCACCTTGGTAACCTCGGCCAGGGAGATGGAAGAATCCATCTCCCAACAACTAAGTTCTATGTTACTTAAATTGAAAAATGTTCTTTTTATTTTAAAACTTTTTCCCAACAGAAAGAGTCTTGTAAAATAAAAATGTTCAGACCACAAACAAATCAGACCAAGATTACAACATGCAGACATGCTGACTAATAAATCTTATAAATCTCATAAAATTATCCCCGTGACACTAAGGGCTGAGAACTAGCTGATTGAAGATGTTCCTCTCTTTTTTTGTACTTCTTTTTTTATTCATTCATTCATTTTCAACCCCTTTACTAGTCCATTTCTGGGTCGGGGGGTGACAATGAGAGCTGCGACCCATTGCTCATAGCACCAGTCCCTCGCTGATCCTCTGCAGGTGGTGAGTTCACAGGAAGTTGGCTGCTACATCAGTGGGGCCACAGCCTTGTTGTTTCAGCAGGAGCTTCAGGCAACGTGGGGTTAAGTGTCTTGCGAAGGACACAACGACAGCAGACATTAGTGGGAGCAGTTGGAGAAGGTCCCATGGTGGTTTTGAACCCACAACCTTCAGACCCAAAGGCCAATGCTCTACCAACTGAGCCACTGTCGCCAACAAAAAAAAACGTATATAAAAACTAGTAATACAATAAACTGGTTTAGAACTTGAAATGTAGGTCCCTCAGCTTTAAATCTCAAAGAACAAGAGCATTCTGTGCCCTTGAGGTCAAATACATTTATTCTAATTATTTGGCTGTTTTTCAGAATGGCCATGTGTCATCATCATACGGCAGCTTATGCATGACAAATTGGTGTTAAACAAAATCCTCATTATTCTAATCCCTGTATTCTCTTGGTGTTTTGAGCTTTCATTCTTGCCTCACATTTCCCAAAAAGGACTTCCCCACACACACAGTCACACATATACACACACACACACACACACACACACACACACACACACACACACACACACACACACAAACACACGCGCACACACACTTATCAGTCACAAACACCATTTCGCGTCTGTTCCACTTCACCAGTCCCGTCTGTCTAGCTGCTGTTTGTTACTGTCTGCCTGCCCCTCTCATTAATACACTTTGGCCTAACCTTTTGCCCTGTCGTGCTCTGTGATATAAAACCTGTCAATTTTAATAATATTCAGTGGGTGTGAGGAAGAATGGTGTGATGTTGCAGTTTTTGAACCCAGTAGAGCTGTGCCTTTGTGGAGGTATACGCAGATGTTTCTAGCAGCCATCTGGGCCGGTAATGGATATGCAAGTGTTTACTTCTGCATTAGAAGCTCATATAGAGAAAGAGCAGTGAGGAATATGTGAACAAGTTTGAATAAGAATGGAAATGTTTGAATAGTTCTCCTCAACTATAGTGTTTAAAATCATCAAAAATTCTACCACATTGATTACTAGTGCAGTAACTATTGGACTAAAAATATGTCCAATAGTTCTAGCATGCGCCTCCTGTACTGGCGACCCCGCTCCCATCTCTGTGTGGAGTGAGAGACAAATGCCCAAAATTAACAATTGTAAACCGCTTTGAGACTCAGATCTGCAGTGAAAAGGCGGTATATAAATAAAAACTTACTTACTTACTTACTTACAGTGCAACAACTTTTTTTATTTATTTCACCTTTATTTTAACCCAGTACATTTTATAAAACATTATTAAATTATTATTAAACATTATATAAATATAAAGCAAACAAAACAACCACACAAAAAAAGGTTGAACATGCTTTTAATATTGCTAATACTACTACAACAACTACATATTCTACTACTGCTGCTGCATGTTCTCCCCTTGTCTGCGTAGGTTTCCTCCGGGTGCTCCGGTTTCCCCTACCACTAAAGACATGCAGACTAGGTAAAATCCTCCAGCTCTGGTAGTCCTGACCAAGCCGAGCATCAACATCTGGAGATGGGTCCCCGGGCGATGTACGACAGCGACCACTGCTCCTGACGTAAGCCTTGGTGGTATCAGGATGCTCTGCATTTGACCCGTCAGTATGGGTCAAATGCAGAGGGCAAATTTCCCTATGGGTACAATAAAATACACATTCACATTTACGTATTTTATAAAAAATAAATAAAAATAAAAAAAGAAGTCCATTACAGCTTTGAATACAGCTGTCTAATATTTGTTTGAATATATGTATATGTATTTTTAATATTTGAATTATATTTGAATATTGAACTTCGAAGTCAAAGCCCTAGCTCTGGTCCTGACAAGCTCAGCATCAACATTTGGAGATGAGACTCCAGGTGCTGTACTGTAGTAACCACTGCTCCTAACAGATTACAGGATTGGTCAAATGCAGAGAAAAAATGTCCAATATCATATTACATTTCAGCTTGAGTCCTGGCCCGATGCTGTGCGAACACGATTCAACTACTCTCTATACTCCATCAGTTTTCCCCAGTGAGAATGCTGCAGAGTGGAAGAAGCTTTTCAAGCCCTGTGCCTCTCAGCGCCTCTTCCTTCCTGTGAGTACACTATATACGTAACAGAATCAGATGACTGTGCCAATTAGTGGAAATGTTGTTGGAACCACAATATGTTTCACAATACAGCCCATTGTATTTGGACGTACTAAGACTGTATACTGGCTGACATTAAGCTTTTTATAACTTTTACTCCGATAAAGGTCTTCTTTTGTTACTTAAAAACATAATACGATCCCAAAGCCAAGTATTAGGATTGGTATCATACATGAAAAAGCTAGGCATCCCTAAGGTCCTACATCCCTACTGAATTGTTCTTATCCTGCTTCAATTAGAGAATTTATTAGACTGGTCAGATTTACTTAACCACAAGTTGGTGTGTTCTTGGGCAAGACGCCTTATTAACCATTAGGGATGTAAAAAACTATGCATTTTCATGACCGACCACCGAGCCTCATTAACCGGTTGAAACCGGTTAACCGCGTAGTTTAAAATATTCCACGTTCTTTGAAATAGCAGCCATTTTGAGCCGCGTACTTTTCATAAGTTTATCTATGCGTTCTACTAGATCAGAGCTGAGACAGCGGCGCCAAAACCCGCAACAGCTTCGGCACCTTTGCGCACAGAGAACTGAGTACTGTGCTGCGGGTTAAAGCATTTTTAAGCAAAAGACGGCTCGTTCACATGGTCAGAGCAGCGAGTTACACGCCGCGTCTCGCAGGTCTCCGCTAAAGTTTAAAAGTAATGTGTGTGGATCTGATCTAATGCAGGGATTAAAGAGTTCCGTCTAGGTGACGGATTTCCGTCAAATGAAATTGGTCTGGAAAAAAAATATATATATATAATGATAATAATACACAAAATGAAATGATTGATTATAAAAATAATATATAGTAATACATATACGTGTGAATCTGTTATATATATATCGATGTATAATAATAATTTGAATATAATTGTATTTATATGTATATAGAAATAATAAGTAATATAATCACGAGTGGGCCTTGAACGTGCCGTGGCCACATGAGCGCTCCGCAAATGAATCAAGGCAATGGGACGTAGCTGAGCTCACGCGCAAATGAAGACGCGATGAAGTTAGCATTGGTAACACAGAGGTGAAAGTTTCTGGAAACTGCACGGAGCTTTTGAAAAGGAGAAGAGGAGGAAAATTGAATCTCGAACGGAGCAATAACAGCAGCAGATCCGCGGACTGGTAAGCTGGGCGCGTAATAGAGGAAAGGTAATTAACGTTTACCAAACGCAATGCTATTTTACTTAACGGAATGTACAAAACGGACTTTGCTGCAACTGGGAATGGGGACAAACATGTCTTGGTGAGCTTTTGATATTGTCTTGTTTGTGATCTTCTTGCAAAACTCAGCGTGATGTAAAAGAGCCAATCAATGAGTCATGGTGCGAAAAGATGAAAGTGGCCGGTGCTTGTGCGTACTTTGCAATAAAAAATTGCATGTATGGGAGTAATGAGAAAAAAGTTTTGATTCGCCACCAGCTCAAAACTGCGCACAAGGCAGCTGTTTGTGCACTTTCCCACACTTCATCTTTACCTGGTGCATCAGCAACAACTAACACTAGGCTTGCTCTGGCGGACCGTGTCTGTGGCTTTATCGCAGAAAATAACGTTCATAATATCACTACCACTGGTAGATTTATTTAAATCATTTGCAGTTGATCGAAGTGCACTGTGCACTCAAACTTGATAGGGAAACCTTTTTCTTAAATATTGACGTGTCCACAAACAAATGTGGACAGAATTTTATCGTCCTTTTGCAATATTTTGACGAGGACAGAGCCAAAGTGTTGACGCTCCATATCGCCTCAAGTAAAGCTACTCTCACTAATATTCTGTCAAAAAGTTGACTCGTTGCTTGATCCACTTATTTCATATCAAAATACACTGTATATCTTTGAAGAATTCATTTGAGCTGTATTCATTATACAATCTATTATACAATAATATATTGTAATTACAAATATAACTTGGTCCTGCATATTACTGTGATTTACATGTGATAAATTTCCATGCGAAAATTTTCAGTCAAATCTTTTTTTTTTGCTTTAACCCCTGATCTAATGACAAGGACCAGCAGCACAAACATGTTTCATGTGTTTGACTGGGGCCGCGTATTTGCGAGGATTCTTTGGGCTGCGAGACACAGAGGTGCGCGACAGACCGGTATGTGTGTGTGTACAATACATGTATGTATGTGTGTGTAAATATAAGCGCCAATGTAGTTCTGACCTGCACTAGTGTGGAACTTTGGCGGTAACAGAGGGGAGAGATGATGCGTGTGGATGTTACGTATGGAGGGGGGGAAAGTGTTTGTATATGTGTGTGTGTGTGTGGCTGCGTGCATATGTGGAGCGTGTGCCATGAAAGTCGCCCGTAGTCTACTAATGCATTGGCGCACACAGCTAGATACGGACCCGCTCGTCACATCGTACAAATAGGGCTTAAAATAGCCTTATTAAGAGACCTCCTCTCTCCGCTTTTTCTTATTTTTAATCGACAGCTTTGACCGGTTAACGCTGTGACGGTCAACCACCGGTTAAACGGTCACCGATTTACATCCCTATTAACCATGCTTGAAGGAGTGAGTGGTTTCTTTATATACAACACTTTAAGCCCCGGGGCGACAGTAGCTCAGTTGGTAGAGCATTGGCCTTAAGGCCAGAAGGTCATGGGTTCAATTCCCACCTCTGCACCTTCTCCATCGACTCCCACTGATGACTGCTGTCGTTGTGTCCTTGGGCAAGACACTTAACCCCACTTTGCCCAAAGCCCCCACTGAACGATCCAGGCTATGCTCTCACTCAGAGAGCAGCCGTCCTCCTGTGGACTCACCACCTGCAGAGGGTCAGTGAGGGGCTGGTGCTATGAGACTTGGGTGGCATCTCTGATTGCCACCCCCCTGACCCAGAAATGGATTAAAGGGTAGAAAATGGATGGATGGATGGACTTTAAGCCCCTCCGAAAATCAAAACTTAACAAAGACTAAATCCCAAATTCCTTTGTACATATACTAAATGTTTGTGTTTATTTGGTTTATTTGAGTAGGTACGAATACAATAAAACTAAACAACTAGCACAGCAACCCAATACAGGCATCATAGCACATACTGTAGCTACTAGATAGATTATCTTAGTGCTATCCATAAGTCAGGTTTTTACATTGTCAAAATACAGTGAGTATGACAAAGTATCATGTCTTAATTCTCACTGCCCCAAGAGGGCACTGTAGGCTCATCTACCAGTTTTGTTTCTCCCATAACTGACCAGTTAAAATGCAACATGAATGTCGTAGAAAATCATATATGTTTGTCTGAGCTCTTGAAATTGTCTTTTATTTACATGAAAACAACACAATTTATGTGTTAAAAATTAATGTATGGCCTCAATTCGTTTTATGGGTGTTAAGGACGAATTTCTTTGTCGTCCCTTGATTACCGCAGTGGTATGCTGAAAATTATTACATGACAATGAACTAAAGCCCGTTAAGACGGAGATGCTGTGGATAAAAGGGGAAGTGGTGAGGTCATATTGACAAGAGAATTCACACCTTTCTCTTCATGCGGCAGTGAAACAGCCCCCGCCAAGCAGCATATCTGTTTTGTTCCACTTTGGAGGCTGGTTCCCAACTCTAACGGTATACTGTCTGTCGCAACCTCTTTGTGTACGGCCTTTAAGGGTTGATTTTCACAACCGATTACCAATAGTTAGTAGTGAAGTAGCCCGATAACCGAGAGGTATATAGATTGGAGTAATTTACATTATAGAGCCAATATGAATTTGCAGTACTATTTGAAATGTAAAATTATTGGCATTAACATTTTGAGACAAACTCCAACACTTTGTTTAAATTCCTGAAGCACATCTGTATTTAACAAAACTAACGAATAGAGAGGGCCAAAGGACTTTGGTTCGACTTCCCACAAGCAGAGCTGGTGCTTGCCTTGTTTGGGGCCCTAAGCAGAAGTCAGCATAGGGGCCCTACACATAATTCAAGAAACTATAAAATTTAAAGCAAGCAGAAGTTCCATTGCACTTAAACAAATACATTATTCACACTAATAAAGCAATATAAGACAACAGCCGAAGAAAACATGTTTAACATGTATTCTATTTATTAAATTATTCAACACAATAAGATAAAATAACATTTGAACTATTCCCACACAATAAAATAAGATATGATAAGTTAGACTTTTTTGAAATGTAAATGTCTCCTGTGACAGAAGTGTGCAACATGTTAAAATACAAAAATAAATAAAATACAAATAAGTAGTGCTGTATTAAACTTACCAGTACAATACAGTACATACAATGTGGAATATGTACTCAAAATGTACATTGACCATAATGGGCCACTTAAGCTGCACAGGGGCCAACAACACGGAACAACTGGATTTGGGCTGTTCTGAGGTTTGTCATGTTTATATTAGTTTTACAATTGACAAAAGTGTTTACTCAACAGATGGAGTCCAGAGATCATGAGCTTTACAATGAGGTATACTATGTCAACATCGACAGAGCTGAAGTGGATGACACTGTGAACTTGTGTTAACTGTTACTTTGTGCTAGCAAGGCAGAGGGCCATATATAATTGGACAGAGGGCCGCAAGTTTCACCCCGCCTATAGAACAGCTTTCCCAAACTGCAAATGTACCTACAGGGTACATTTGGCTTGTGGGTTGTAGGCATTCTGGTTTAATTCAATTAAAAGGTACAGGATATAAACAGGAATTTCAATGGAGAAAACCTTCGCAGGCCTCCAAGCTTTACTGCACAGGGCAAGTCACTCGTTGGCCAGTTGCCACAAGAAGAAAAACTTGTCACACCTACACAACTGATCACATCGAAATGGATAACACAAGAAAAGAGTCTGGAAGGGGGGACGAAGCAAGGGGAGTTAAATCTGACACTGTACCAATTAGTTTTACGGCTATGAGTTCTTAATCAATCCCAATATTATCCCTTGATTACGGCTGTGTTCCTGCTGAATCATTGACGATACACCATCTTTGTCCTGCAGCTGATCTTGAAAGGCGTGGACTCGGTTGTGTACGTGGACTCGGACATCGTCTTCCTGCAGCCCGTAGACCGGCTGTGGGCCCTCCTGTCCCGGTTCAACTCCACCCAGCTGGCAGCGATGGCCCCGGAGCACGAGGAGCCCAGGATCGCCTGGTACAACCGCTTCGCCCGCCACCCCTACTACGGCCGCACGGGCATCAACTCTGGGGTCATGCTGATGAATATGACCAGGATGAGGGACGCCTTTTTTCTGGTAGGTTTAAGTCAAATTCTTTGTCTTCACACAGCTCCCATTTGACTTTGAGAAGAGGCCTATAACTTCTGCCGTTTTTAAAAGGAAGTCAACCAAGTATTTCTTATCAATCAAGGAAAGAATTTTTTGATTAATGTTACAACATATAAATGATGTATTTTATTTAATTAATATACTGCTCAAAAAAGACAAAAAGTAAGTCAAAATGAGCTTGAATCAGATAAAATAAAGCCTTGTTTTTTAGTCAAAATCAAAATAAGAACGCTTTGTTTTTCCCATTGGCAAATCTAGTTTTTGTGGAAAAAAAAGTGGTAAAATCATCAGTTTTTTCAGTGTATATTGAATGTAGCCGTATAGTGATTTACTTACACCTTCAACCTTCAAGTTAGTATCTCTTTTAGTATTTATAAGATTAATGCTTGTCTAATTGTATTCTATGTGTTCTTCCGCTTGTGTATTTAGTGTATGAACTATTCAAATAACGCTGCCTTTGTGCTGTTGTACTTTGTCAAACTGTCCACTAGAGGTCCTCCTTCTCCCGCACTACATCGTGTGGGTTTGCGTGTCGGGAAAGCCCATTGTGCACGGAGCCTTTTCACAGCTCTTTTGTCTCACTTTGTGTTTGCAGAACGACATGACTTCTGTGGGGCTGCGCTGGGAGGAGCTTCTGATGCCTCTCCTACAGAAATATAAACTCAACATAACATGGGGAGACCAGGACCTTTCTCAATATAATCTTCCACTACAATCCTGGTAAGAAACCATGTTTATGACACAGGAAACAAACAATGAAACGCATCAGTGACCGCTTTGTTATGGTTTGTTGATTTAAGTATAACGTTTTTTGTTGGAGATTATTGAACTAACAAACTTTGACATGATATACACATCTAATAATGACAGAATGATGGGAAAAATATGCATACCCACTGATATAAAATTACCACCCTCTTCACACGCACACACACTGACCTCTGCTGACCTGTTTGTATCCACAAGTCTCTCATGGCCCCGCATCAAACCATAGGTATGACATGTTAATGCCATATGAACCAACTCAGACTCTGAGGAACATAGGGACTAGGGATGTAAATCGGCGACCGGTTAACCGGTGGTTGACCGTCACAACGTTAACCGGTCAAAGCTGTCGGTTAAAAAAGAGAAAAAGGGGAGAGGGGAGGTCTCCTAATAACGCTATTTTAAGCCCTATTTGCACGGTGTGACGAGCGGGTCTGTATCTAGCTGTGTGCGCCCATGTATTATAAACTCCGGGACGACTCTCACGCCGCACGAGCCACTTATGCACACACGCACGCGCACGCGCACACACACACACACACACTTTCCCCCTCTCCATACGTAACATCCACACGCATCATCTCTCCCCTCTGTTACCGTCAAAGTTGCACACTGGCGCGGGTCAGAACTACATTGGAGCTTACATTTACACACACATACACATACACACACACACATACATACACACACACACACATACACACACACATACCGGTCTGTCGCGCTCCTCTGTGTCACGGAGCCCAAAGGATTCGCGCAAATTACGCGGCTCCAGTCAAACCACATGGAACATGTTTGTGTTTATGGTCCTCGGGATCAGCTCCACACACATCACTTGTATTTAAACTTTTGTGAAGACCTGTGAGACGCCGTCACTCGCTGCTCTGACCATGTGAACGAGCCGTCGTTTGCTGCTAGAAAGTTTTGGTATTAACCCGCAGCATAGCAGAATGGGAAGATTAAAAAAAGCAGTTCTCTGTGCGCAAAGGTGCCGGAGCTGTTGCGGGTTTGGGCGCCGCTGTCTCTGCTCTGATCCTGTAGAACGCAGAGCTGCACTTATGAAAAGTACGCGGCTCGAAATTTGGGAATATCAATAGAATGCCGGTATGTTACAATGCAGGAACTTTTCAGCCGTTGATGGAAAAATGTATGGGCTATTTGCATAAGGAAGCTACTACGCTGGATTAATCATCTTTTCTGACACTTTGGAAGAGCCCATGAGCGGCTCGTTGCGAGTCCTTGGTCGATGAAAGCTATGAAGCTTCACCAGAGAATTGCCGTTTCTACGTCTGTCAAGTACCTTGTTCACGTGGTTTCTGAGCGAGGGGTGGAGACCGATTCCGCGAAGATTGAATCCCTTAAATCTTAAAGAGCTGAGGTCCTTCCTGGGGTTCTCCGGATACTATCGTCTGTTCATAAAAGACTATTCCACACTCACCAAGCCACTTAACGATCTTACCAAAGGCTACCCACCAGTACGGCGGTCGACCAGGTGAAGAAGGCCCAACCTCAATATCTCGACACGAAGCAATCATTCGGTGCTCGATGGACACTTGAGTGTGAAAAGGCATTCGAGTTGCTGATTGACAAATTGACAACATCCCCTGTTCTTGGATTTGCAAATCCAAAGCAGCCATACATTTTGCATACAGACGCCAGCACAACAGGCTCAGCGCAGCGGCTGTACCAAGAACAGGAGGGTCAATTGCGGGTCATTGCTTATGCCAGCCGAGAGTTGTCTATCAGTGAGTCCCGATACCCAGCCCATAAGCTTGAGTTCTTGGCACTAAAGTGGAGCGTGACCGACAAGTTTCACGACTACTTGTACGGAGCGAACTTTACAGTGGTAACCGACAGTAACCCACTGACGTACATACTCACCTCCGCAAAGTTAGATGCCACGAGCCACAGGTGGCTTGCAGCTCTTTCAACTTATTCCTTCAAGCTCCAATATTGTGCCGGTCGCCAGAACTTTGACGCTGATGCTTTATCCAGACGTCTTCATCAATCCAGTCCTGAAGATTGTCTCTCCTTCAAAGAGCAAAATCTCATTCAGCAGTTTCTGAGGGACCGTATTTGTGATCCTGGTGAGGAAGAGGAGCTTTCTCCCGACATTGTAAGTGCCATATGCACAAGTTCACTGGAAAATGGATCTTCCGTTACTCTTGCCGAATCTCTTTCCATGCATGTCAAGGGTATTCCTGACAACTACTTCTCTGATGAACAACACGGACTCCCCGATCTTCCAGCACTCTCTCCATCCGAACTGAGAGTCCAGCAACTTGCAGATCCTGCTATCTATGAAGTTGTACATCAGTTGGAGACGGGTGATAAAGTGGTCCCTGCGATCAGGCAAGAACTCCCTGAACTCCCTTTGCTATTGAGAGAGTTGAACAAACTGGAGTTGAGAGATGGAATCCTCTATAGGAAGCGGCATGAGGACGCAAACTCTACTTTTCAGCTTGTTCTACCACCCGAGTTGCGGCCAGTGGTCCTCACAAGCCTTCACAACAACATGGGCCATATGGGGATCGAGAGAAGCTTGACTTGGTGCGTCAGCGGTTCTTCTGGCCAAGAATGTCTTTTGATGTGGAGAAGAAGATCCATACTTGTGATCGGTGTGTGAGACGGAAGGCCATGCCCGAACGTGCTGCTCCGTTGGTCAACATCACCACAACTCGACCTCTAGAGCTTTTGTGTATGGATTTCTTGTCTCTTGAGCCTGACAGCAGTAACACAAAAGACACAAAAGATTCTGGTGCTAACAGACCATTTTACAAAATTCTCTGTTGCGCTCCCCACGCCAAATCAGAAGGCAAAGACCGTTGCCAGATGTTTGCTCAATGATTTCATTGTCAATTTTGGTATCCCCGAGCGACTACATACAGACCAGGGGCCTGACTTTGAATCCAAGTTGATCCAAGAGCTCATGTTTGGCAACTGGAATGAGGAAAACTCATACCACCCCTTATCATCCCAGAGGTAACCCGGTGGAACGGTTCAACCGGACTCTGTTGAGAATGTTGGGTACCCTGGAGCGCAAACAGAAAAGTAAATGGCATGAATACGTAAAACCGCTTGTACATGCGTACAATTGTACACGCAACGAGGTTACTGGCTTCACACCATATGAACTTCTTTTGGAAGGACTCCTCGTCTGCCAGTTGATCTAGCATTTGGCTTGCCAGTTCGAGAGACGCCAACTCCAACACACACTCAGTATGTCAAAGATCTGCAATCCCGTCTGGAAGAATGTTATCAAGTTGCTTCCAAAAATGCACTTAAGTCTGCCGAAAGGAACAAGACGCGGTTTGATCAACGAGTGACGCCATGCAAGTTGGAGGTTGGAGACAGAGTCCTTGTCCGAAATGTAAGGTTACGAGGAAAACATAAGCTTGAAGACAAATGGGAAGCCGACGTATATGTTGTTGTTCGATGTGCCGGAGATCTGCCTGTTTATACAGTTAGGCCAGAAGCTCGTGAAGGTCCAACTCGCACGCTACATCGTGACTTGCTTCTTTCGTGTGGATTTCTGCCAGCCAGTTCTGCAACACAGAGATCCAAACCTTATCCTCCTCGTAGACCACAAACTCGGAGTCAACCTACACCTGAACCTGATGCAACTTACCTATCTGGGGAAGAAGATGTTCCTTGGGTTGTTCAGCCTCGTTCATTCCAACTACCTGTTGAGATCCATGCCTCTAGTCACGATGATGAACTACCTGCTGACACGCATCCTGTTGTGACCCTAACAGAGATTCAATGAAACAGACGCCGTGATTATACCGGACTCAGGTACTGCTGCTGCTGCTGCAGTGGATAGCACACCAGTTTCACCTTCTACTCTCCATTCTGAATCTGATGTTGATGAGGTCCCTGCTGGGGAAGAAGAGAATGGGCTTGAAGATTGTTATTCCGGAGGAAATGAAATACAGGACACTGTTCCTATGGAGGATCTACCCCCCCAAGTGGAACTTGTGCTGGAGTCCATTCCATCTGAGCCTTCTGTCCCAAGTGCCCCGACAAGTCCGGAAGTCACTGAAATGGCCAACAATGTACCTAGACGTTCTAGTCGTGATAGACGCCCACCAAATCGTCTTCAGTACTCCCTTTTAGGAAATCCTGTCATTTCAGTTGTTCAGAGTCTATTTCATAGCCTTTCTGATATTTACACTGAGACTTTAGAGAGAGCATCTAGAGCAGATATTCTCTAGCTCAGGAAATAGATTAACACAAACTTTGTATGCGACGAGACGCGCATGATCTTAAGCGGGGGAGGGTGTAACCCATATTAAAATTCTGGTTGCCTCCCACTGTATTATTTTCATTCCTACCGCTCCTCGTTACCATAGTAACGCTAGTCTCGCGATACTCTGCGGGGCAGTCTCAAACGCAACTTCCAGTAGTCATAATCAGAGTTACTGCGGCTCCACCGGTAACTGGGTGGGATGCCAGACTGAGTTGGCTGCAGATGCCTCTGTCCTTACTGAGCACATTGTGTGTTTGTGTGCTCTGTATTCTGCAAGGAACCGGCCAGGTCCTCAATACTTTCTGGGCTTCAGGAGAGTACATCTTTATTTGATTCTGCGAATGTGGTAGGGGGCTCTGCAGCCACATAACTCACCCACTCACTTCCAACGCTTTTGGGGACAATATTCATACTCTGGACTAATTATTCAAACGAACTATCTCTGCTGCTTTCACACATGGGCAATAACCCATCGCGTTGTGGATTACACTCTTGAGTTAGAGTTCTGGACTGTGGACCATACCTTATTCCGATCAACTACCAACAGTGCACTTTGTACATATTGTATATATTTCTGTATATTGTTTCACATGTACATATCATTCATCACAATACAAAACCCATAATCGTACCCCTCGTATATGTCTTTTATTAAGCATTGTCTCACTTTCCTCCGAGCCGAATCAGTTCTTCTTAGTTTATATTAATTGTTCTTCTCTAATCACGTGACGTACATGTTACAAGTAGTTGCAGTAGATCTGATGGAACAACCTCGGAAATAGCAGGGCTTGGAACAGTAATCTTCCTGGCCTCTGGTAGAGGACCTGAGTTTAGAGAGGGATAACCAACGTGGAGGTTGTACCACATCAGTATTCCTATACTATATACAGTATATATAAAAAAACTGGATTTGGCATCTTTACACAGTGTGAATCATACTTTCGCTCATACTGTCCGTGTTTAAGAATCATGAAACTTAAAGTTGGGGTACGTAACTTGAAACCACTTAGGTTTTATCACTTGTTTTCAGATTCTCTAACATCCTTAGATCAGTTTTTCAGAAGTGAAACATGATAAAAACACCCTCACTCAGCTCTTAGCCCATCGCATTAAATGGTGACTCTGATTTCAAAAAAGATGTTGTTTGTTCTGTTAGAACAAACACCATTTATTATTAATGTTAAAAAGTTAGGTACCCCAGCATTAATGTGAAATCTGTGCATTGGTGAGACAGTGGGTGGGTCTTCTCTTCCCTTGCCAATCTGATGCGTGGATGCACAGCTCATTGAACTGAAGAATTAATGAGAGACTTACGGTGTGGCACTGCTGTCACTGGGGCCTTTATGAATAACATTAAAGCAGCTCTTCTTTTACTTAGAGCTTCTCCCATCCACCCCTGTGTGACTGACACGTGCTATGGATACCAGGCCGCAATTTGCTGTCGTCAATCATGCTGCTATAAATGATTAATCCCAGTGTGAATTTCTAATTGAATGTTGGTGCGTTCATTCCAGCAGTCGCAGGCTATAGGCAAAATCCACAGGTTCTATGGTACTGATAGACACTTAATTATGTGATTCTCTTTAAATTGTACGAGTGGCAAACAGTCATACAGAAGTGTTCCAACATCTAATGCACAGGTACTGTATGTGTTGAAAAAACACAAATGAATTATTTTTATTATTTGCTTTAGTATTTCAATTTTCTGTTTTTAAGGAGAAAAAATAGGACAAAAAAGTCCTACCTGATTGTGTGATTGGCTTTTGGTTGATTTGTTGTTGTTATGCTAATTCCAAGGGGAGGGACTGTTTCAAAAATATGCAGATTCACTGCAAAGAACTTTTATTTGAAGTGGATTTGCGTTCTCTGATTATACTACTACTACTAATAATAATAATAATACAATCATGATACTCCTCCTGTGGACTCACCAGTGAGGGCTGGTGTTATGTGTACTGGGTGGCATCTCTGGCCACCCCCCCGACCCAGAAATGGATTAAGGGGTAGATAATTGATGGATGGATGGATGGATGATAATAATACTTTTTATTTATAGTGTGCCTTACATTTCCAGGAAACCTCAAAGTACAGATTAAAACCACAAACAACAAAACAAAGCAAAATAATCAGAAATACATCATGTCAATTTGACATGGATTTGTTCCAAAAACATAGAACATATTTTTGTTTCAATCTGTTCTATCTTAAAGGTATAAAAGGAGGATGTTCTACTTGATACGTGATCGTCCAATTAGACCATAGAATTTTGTTCAAAAAGGGGATAGGGTGGTTCTTTCCTAAAAATTGGGAAAATCCTCCTATAAACCTTTAAGCTCTACATTATTCATTCACTACACACTCGATGGCGATAGAAGCAGCTGCAGGGGGCACAGGAGGAGAAACATTGAAACTCCGCTAAGAAAGGGCCAGCTCCCATGAACCAGCACAAAGATTTAGCCTTGGCCTCAGTTGTATTGCCAGTTATTTCCTCAAATTTAAGATTGTCTCTAAAAACATTCCTATGTGTCTGACCCCCAGATGATGCCGTGCCAAACGCAGCCATCAGCGCAACCAGGACTTGTGTCTTATTATGGACTGATTAAGGCTGTTGAAGGCGGACAATTTTCCATTCATTAAACCTCCATTTATGTCTCCAATTATGTGTTAACGACTCATCAAGACTGGTAATTAACTTTTGTTTAATTTTTCTCTTCCTATTAACATAAATGACAGCACACGACCAGTGGGGGGGTCCATGGGATGGAAGAGGTTATTTGAATGTGTGTGTGTGAATGTGTGATCAAGTGTTCCTAATGTCAATGGTAGAGGTGTTAGAAAACATGGATTCAGCAATATATCGCAATATATAATCCCATAATTCTCAATTCTATATTCTATCAACATCAAAATGCTTAAGTTTTTTTTGTTAGAATATATCCTGCATCTACATTCCCGCTCAGAGGAGTGCATCCTGATGGCTGGCTTGTGGATACGTCGGTGCATTTATCTTTTATTATCTTAAAGATGCAGTTGATGATTTATCCAGACGCAATTTTTTGAAAAGTAGGCAAGTTATCATGTGTTTTTAACAAGGAATGGACATGACCAGATGCCTGTAGCATCTGTAATTATAATATTTTGGAGCGGACAGATAGAACGAATGGAATGCTTTCACCGACCACTCGCCCCCACCCCACCCGCCCAAGTTAGCCCTTGTCATGTATGGCAGGAAAATCGCTCATACAGTAGGCCTGAGTCCTAATGTAGCGTAATGCATTCACATTTCAAACTGGGAGGCTTCGTCACAGATTACGTTATTACAGAAACAGCGTTCATGTGTGCTGGGAGTAGGGTTTGTTGGAGTGCAGGGGGGTTTCTGTGCAACTCTTTCTGGCAGCTCATGTTGTCCTGACCAAGCCGAGAGTCAACATCTGGTGATGGGTTCCCGGGCGCTGTTACTACGGCGACCACTGCTCCTGACATAAGCCCTAGTGGCATCAGGATGGGTCAAATGCAGAGGATGAATTTCCTTATGGGGATAAATAAAGTGCACCTTTACCTTTACCCACAATCTCTAAAGTGCACATAGTTCACATTTTCTTCATCCATGCAGCACTCCCTAAACTTCTCTCTTGATTGTTTTAGTCACATTGAAAAGAAATTGAAAAAGCATAGTTTAGTTTTGGATTATCGTACTGTATTGTGTTGTGACACATTTATCGTGATATTGTGTTGCCAATAACCATGGATCATTCAAGCGACATGATTTTCCATATTTTTGAATGAGCAAACTCTGTCTTAGAAAGTAAGTCCAAAATGTGTTTTGAAATATGTTTACATTTCCAATTAGACAACCTACAGTAAATGTATCTCTTCTTTCAATTACTCAGAAAAGGAGACCTCTTTGTAAGAAAGAGCTGGTGCATGGCGATACTTAAGATTACAAATCATAAGCGGGGGAATCATAAACCCATGCACGGATGAAGTAAACATAATAAATTATCAGTTAAACAAATAGTTGTCTTGAAACTGCACTTTTTACAATCCACTGCTACCTGCTAACCTTTTCCATTCACAAAAAATAGTGACACCTGCACTAAGGCAACATAGTGCTCCTAAAGTCCTACTACTTTACGTCTTCAATCAAGACATCTTTTTACATTACTTTTCAACTTGCAGATGAATTAGATTGGGCCTTTTTTGGCTGCTTAAAGGGAACATATGTGATGTACATAATTGGTGGTATTACATTGCGATACAACTTTTGTTTCCATAATCTTCCTGTCTTTGATACAAGTCCTAAGCACTGAATACTGATGCAATCCACCTGCTTTGGTTTAGCTAGAAACAGTACAAAGTCTGTGTACTACGCTTGACTACTTATTTTTCTACCTGCATTCATTCAAATATGTTTAGATAGATAGAAAGATTGCTTTATTCAACCCCCGTAGGAGAAATGTAGGTGTCCAGTAGCAGCAGAAACACATCCATCCCTAA